GTTATAGTCCCTATTTTACATCCTTGTGACCTTTTATTATTAACAATAGCTATTAACTACAAAACAGTAGAATTTTATAAAATTTATATGAGAGCTGACCTCTAAAATCTCGTGCATTCGCTTCATGTTAAGGGCAGGAGCGCCCTCAATCTTCAACCTCACAACCTCTGATGTTTTCCATTTCTCTCTAATAGTCTCCACAACCTGTTGTGTAACACCTGCACCGCTAATCCTTGTCTTGTTCTTTATCCGAAGAGCCAAGTTCTTCAACCTCCTCAGCTCCGACTCAGGAAGAGTCAACTCGGCCAAACTCCTAACCTTTCGTCTGTCTGAACTCCGCTTCTCCTCATCCTCTACCACATTTTTCTCCCATGGGAACCTCACCTTTCCATTACTACTCTCATCCCTGAACAATGACTTCTCTGAGAACCCACCTCTTGTATCTGGCAATAACCCTTCCTCAACATAAAATATATCTTCTACTGACCCTTTTTCTATCACTCTTCCTGCATTCCCATTCTTCTCGCTAACATCATCTATGTACCCAAACTTCTTCAACTTCTCAACAATCCTCTCCATTGTACTACCACCACTACTAGTACTAGTTCGTTCTTCACAATCCGAACTCGAAACATCTCCACTATTCCTATAATGCAACGCTGCTGGAGGCCTTCTCACGCCATTTGGCCTGTCCATTTTATTCCATTTATCAAACCAAGAATTACTAGATATCCTCTCCCTATCACTAGACTGTGAAATGGGTGTTTCACTACCCAAATTCCACATTTTGTTTCTCTGTTTTGGCAAAAGATTGGGTTTTTTTTGTGGTTTTCTCTTGGGAAATGAATCTGAGTGGATTTTATCATGGGTTGAACTAAAATATAGATTCTTGGAGGGGAGTGAAGAACTGTAAAAGAATTGGAGGGTTGTTCCACCATGGAATTTGGAGACTGAGCTCTGGAATGAGTGTATCAAGAAATTATTTTTTGGATAAAATTGATATGATGGTATAGTAGCCATAATCAAATTCTACAAACAATAAAACAACACATACAGAAATTTCCCAAATTTGTTTTGAATATGCAGGAATTTGGATTCAGATTATCTGGTCAGTGATGAGTAATATCTAAAGGTGCTTATGCTAATTTCATAAGACTAAAGTTACTAACTTGCGCGGTGTGCGTAACGGAGTACAACGATCGCTCGATCAGCCCAAACAATCTTGGACCGAATGAGTAACTCGGGCCAGCCATCGGATTCTTTGAACCGATAGATTTAATTAGCCAACCGGGCTCCTTGAACGGTTCAATGAAACAGAGAGGATTTTTATAGATTTTGGGATCTGGATTTGTATCTCTTTGAAAATGTCGGCCATTTGTAACGCCTAAGGGTTGTTCTCTTCGTATTTCAGTTTTTAATTTTGAGTTTTGAATTCATTTTGAATTTTTGTATTTC